CCTCTTAGTCACTGAAATTCCTACACAAGTCTAACTTGCCCCATGGGGGCTCTGCACACGTCCTGCAAAACTTGAGTGGCTTCCACACCTTCTCATTGCCACTAATTAGCTGTGGGGGTCTGTATTGCTTGCAGACAGAAACATCTTCAACTTCTCTGACAATTTGAAATCCAGAAAGTTGCAATCAGCAACTTAAAAACTGGACAGGGGCGCCAGACAGGGGTAATCCACTTTGTCAGATTGTTTTCTGGGTTTGGTCTCTGTCCACAAGAAGACTCTTGGACTTTTCCCAGTTAGAGCCCAGTAGAGGCTGGTGCCTGTTCTCTTTCTTCTGCATGCACTCAGACCCTTTCTCTGAAAGGCAAGAAGTGAAGTGTAGGCACAGGCTGTTCCATATTGCTTGACACTAGCCCTAGAAACCAGTCCCAGGCAAGTTTAGTTTCATGGTGTACACACAGACATGATGCATAGAGTTTATTTTGTAAGGATGAGCTTGGGGGAACAGGACCCTACTTGCTTCAGGAACACCTCAAATGTGAGAATCTTCCCCTTTCTCCTTCCCAGTCCTCCTTTCAGAGCCTGGACCTGCTCATTTTGAAACCAGGTGGTATTTTGGGGAAGTCGTTTTTTTGCCCTTTACACTTGTAGCTGATGAATTTGGTCCTCTCACACTCTGGAGGTGACCTGGAGGATGGGCTGGTGGCCTTCAGAGTTTGGTATGGGGAAATGAGGCTCAGGCAGGAGCTGGAGGGGCAGATAATCTGGGGGCAAGCAGTGGGATAAAAAGGAGATGGAGGAGAGACTGTCAACCTTGGTAGGTTTTAGTAGCAGGTCAGAGCTCTATGCTGTCTGTGAACTTATATAATCATTCTAAATAAGACAGAAGAAGCCATTAATAAGTAAACAGTGATGAGGAGGATCAGAGAGGGAATGAAATGTCTGATGGTGTTCAAGTTGGAGAATTTGTGGAGGATGGATGATAAGCAGAAGACTGAGCGCTCCCTTTGAGCTGCAGCAGTGGTGGGACACTCCTGTGCTCATGTCACAGGGCAGGCAGTGGTGGAGCACGGTGAGGCTGCACTGCCCTTTCTGTGCCGGAATCTGCTTTGTCAGTACAAACTCCAGGTGGGCATCACTTCCTCATCATAACAAATGGAGACCTAGCACTTGCCTGGTGTGACTTTGAGCTTTTGGCTGCTCTTCTTGAAATGATCCATTCCTCCCCTGGGGCAAAAGGATGCTCTCCAGAGTGAGGTATCTGTGCTACCTCAGCTTCTGCTTGGATCTGCTGGTGCTAGCAGAGAAGGGGGATGTCTGTCAACCCACAGCCTGCGAGGGCTGCTCAACATCTCATGAATGCATGTCCCTTTCTTTCTTTTTACTTTTCCTTTTCTGTGGTGTACTGTAGTTTCTCTGTCACAGCTCTGTCTCCCCCCAGATGAACTATGTGTGCCTGCAAGGACTAGATAGCACAGCTGCCCACAGACCTGAGGAGCAGTGACTAGAGCAAGGGCACAGGCACATCTTCTTTGTGGGGAGGGAGGTGAGAAGGTGGTGGTGTGAGGGAGCTGACTTGGAGGCAGACAGAGAGGGCAGAGATGGGAGGAGGAGGTGAATGGTCTGGCCAGGCTCAGCCGCTTTGTTGAGCGCATCATGTGAAGAGCAGGCGAGCTGCTCCCCTCCGATGGGCAGTGTCGCTGTGAATCGCCATCAAAGCAGATGAGATTTCACACCACACAAATTTTTGAATTTAAAAGGGGAGGGAGGGTAGAGAAGCAAGAGAGGAGGAGCAGGAGAGAGGGAGGGAGAAGACGCAGCCTGGCTGGGTGCCAGCGCCTTGTGCCAGTGCCATGGGGAAGGTGGCATCGTTCCCCAGCGTCCCCTGCAGCCCTGCGCTCAATGCTCCCTTCCTCTTTGGTTGTGTCTCTGTAGTGAATGCACTCTAAAGCAGTGTGCAGAGCAACGGCTTGGTCTCTGTCTCCTCATCTCTACTCTTCTGCTTTTTCTTTTAACCTCTCATTCTTTTCCAGCTCCCTATCCACAGGCTCCTTTGCCCCTTACTTCCTCTGAGCCCTCTTCGCTGCTGCCTTACCCTAGTAGTCTTCTGTCCTGCACTACTTGCTCTCCCGTCTCTCATCTCCACTTGAGTTGCCCTCATCACCACTCCTGCCATCATCACTCTTCTGTCCTCTCCTCACTTTCCCACCTTTTAATCTCCCCTCTCCTTTATTGCCCACTGACTCTGAGGAGACACCCAGAACTGGGAACACCCACTGGCTTCCCTTGGCCAGTTCTCTCCATGCTATCTCCTGTGGCACATGTCTTTTCACAGCAGCTATCAAAGTAATTTGTTTAAAATCATGAAAGCATGAGGCAGAGACTGATAGTGTGGTCTTCAAGAACAGACAGGAGATGCACAGTGACCCCACAAGGTCACTGGGATGCCTGAGTTTTACTCCTGTTCCCCTTTGGCTACGAGGAGTGGAAAGCTTCTCATCCCTTTGCCAGGTCCAACCCTCCTTTGTTACACACCCACCTAAGGAGGTGCAAAAACCCCTTGGTGGCTCCCTCTAGAAGTGAGTGAATGGTGGGGTCAGGGAGAAAGGCCACAGGTGGGCGTTCTGCCAATGGTGGTGAGTGCTGCGTACAGCAATGGCAAGTAGGTGTGCTACGGTAGTGCACTTTGGAACAGAGTCGTGATGCTGTGGGTCACCCGCGGTCTCCAAGTAGGACGTGGCAAAGTACTATTGGTGTCCAGGATATTTTTTTATGTCTAAAGACGAAATAATGAAACATAGCATCACAGAATCATGAAGGTTGGAAAAGACCACAAAGATAATCTCGTCCAACCACTGACCTATCACCACTGTACCCACTAACCATGTCCCTCAGTGCCACACTGACCCTTTTTTTGAGCACCTATCTCCAGGGATAGTGATTCTACCACTTCCCTTGGCAGCTTGTTCCAATGCTGTACCAACACCTCGATGTTATCACTTTCTAGATCCTGAAAAGGTTTATCAAGTTATAGGAAGCCCCAAGCTAGAGCCTGATGCCCAACACCAGCTGCCCCCCGAATCTAATAATGCTGCAGGAGCCCACATCCAGGGGTTCCTCTTGGTGCTTGCTGGGAGCACCTCACCATGGGTGCAGCACTACGGTGCAAATGCTCCAGACAAGCAGGTGGTTACAGCCCAGTGTCACTGCTACACCTGCTCTGAAAAAAACAAAACAAAACAAAAAAAAAGATCTGCATGCTGCCTAGACCCTGTTCTCGTGTGTCCCAGTTGTGTTATGGGACAGGTCACTGGGAGTTTGGGACCTTGAGCCCACTGGTTTATCTCTGGAAGATGCTGAGCTGCAGAGGTTGCCCAACCTTTAATTCGAATAAAAGAAAAATTGTTATCTCATTTTTGAGGACTAATATCCTCTTTTTCTCATTTTTCTCCTTTTTGTCCTGTCTGTCCTGAAGTTCTCTTCTTCTGAATCTACAGGGCTAAATTCTACCCTGATGTAAATCTCTGCTGATGTAAATTGGTGTGATCTTGCAAAAATCATTGGAGTGGCTCTGGATTTATGCTGGCTGTTAGTGCTAGCAGGGTTTGGCGCATGGCATGCAGTGGCCATAGCTCACTGTGTCGTGCTCTGCATTTCCAACCAGCACTGCAGGTGACAAGCAAATCCTGCTGAGAGGCGAGCGGGTCCCTCTCGAAGCAGAAGAGGCTTCCCTTGGATGTCCTTCGTGTGGCCAAGTGAGCCAGCTGGGCCACAATTTGGGGATGGACACTGTGGAAAGGTTTTAGCCTGTGGGGTCGCACAAATGGGGTGGAAAATTTTCATTTAATACGTGGTTTTTTTTGGTTTTTTTTTTTTGCATCTCACACATTAGGGAAAATTGGAAAGCGCGCTTGTAGCTGCTATTTCCCACGGGTGCAGTATAATATATACAGTATATGCTGTGTGCGGCACAGGGGGATGAGTCATACCCATTCGTGACTCTTTGGTCTCAGTGCCCGGCCAGGATGGACTCTCCAGGGAGCTCTCCTGACAAGGTGCACTCCCCAGGTATGCTCTGGGTGTACTCCACACCACAGTCCCCCCATCACAGTGCCCCCCACCCTGCTCTGGGTTGGGGTGGGACAGGCACTGCGTTCCCATTCATCCGCCCAGAGGGGCCAAACGCAGTGGCTGCAAAAGCCACACGCGCGGACCCAAAGCCGCAGCGATCATCTGTAAGTGACTCCTGTCCTGTCATCCTTCCTCCCCTCCGTGCTTTCTCCTCCACCTCAACTGCATTACAGATAAAAGGGTTAAGAGCTCACTTGGGCCCCCTGCTCTGAGAGAGGGCAGTTGCAGTGTTGTATCTAGACCCAGCGAGGATATATATAAATTCCCTTCGTCTCTCCGGATCTATTTATAGCACGGCAGGCAGTGGCAAAGGCTCTCCTCAAGGCTTCATCTCCTACAAACAGTCTTCACAGACAGCAGAGAGATAAATTTAGCACACGAGATTTCTTAAAGAGCCAGCAGCTCTGCGGGGCCACGCGCCTGCCTTGCTCAGCCCCCACCCTTGTGCCCCCAGGACTGCACTGTCCCACGGGTGCCTGCACCCACCTTCCCCCCTCTGCCCCCTCTGGTTTTCTGTCCAGATTCACCCACACACCCCCTTTCTGCTCTCTTTTTTCTTTCATTGATGCATTTTCCTTTTTGCTTCTTCTTTTTTTTTTTTTTTTTTTGTTGTTTCCCATCCCATCCTATGTGCTTTTTTGTCTTTTTTTTTTTTTTTCCTTTTTTCCCCCCTCTTTTCTCTCTCTCCCCATCCACAGGGCTCAGAAGATAAAGCTTTCTCGTTAACAGTTCACTGGTTATGCCTACATAGTAAAAAATGTGTAGCTTGATTAATGCCTTCCAGATGGTTAATTGAAAAAAGAAGGGGGGGGGGGAATGCACCAATCTCTCCCCCCTTTTCAGTACTCTGCACACATACACTGCACAGGAAGACAACTGCATTAACGGGTGAGGGGAGCAATAAATTTGAGAAATGGGGGCAGCCTGCTAAATTCTGGGCTGGCAGTTAGCAGCTGAATTGCTCTCTCCCTGCTTTGTGCCTGCACCTGACCTGCCCCACTGCAAAATGCCCCAACCCTGAAAGCAATGCTCCTTTGTGTGCACCGTGTAACACAGATGCACCCACACACATGAAAACCTTCCATAGGTACTGCGTGGCACTGACACCCCAAAAACAACCCCTGCCCATTTTCTCTCCCTAAATTTATTTTCCTAGGGGATGCACACATGTACACACATGTCAGGTGAATCTTGACCATGGAATCACTTGCACAGGAGTGAATCTGTTAGTGGAGTCACCAGCACACAGTGCAGGAGCAGGAGGGCAGTGAGTGTGATGGAGGGGCACCGATGGGTGGGGGCTGCAGTGCGGTTCTTGGGGCAATTTGGGAAGGAAGAGGCCACTGCAGGACAATATGATCAATGCTTTTCTGTTCTATGGACACTTGCCCTCAGCCTCTCTTTCACAATCTGACATCTCTCTCCTCTCATAGCTCTGCCTACTCCCAGTTTCTTTGTCTTTCTCCTGGAGAGACAGGGGAGGAACACCAATCCCTCCCCACCCTGCTAATAGAGATGCTGCCTTGCTGACGTTAGTCACGGAGGGTGTAAGCCATGCAGTTGAGGGTGAGCTGCATCCAGCCCCCCGCACACCTCCCTCTGCCCTCCCACCGTGGCTCTCTCTGGTTTCCAGGGAAACAGCGGCCCCAAATGCTGCCCGACTTTCACATCTGCCTTTCATTTCTCCTTTTAAAAAATAATCATTATTGTAATTTTTTCTTTCTCTCATCTTCTTTCAGGATCACCACCACGGCTGCCTGCATGATGGACCTACGGAGGTACCCCCTGGACCAGCAGAACTGCACGTTGGAGATTGAGAGCTGTGCGTATGCCATGCAATGCTGACCCAAACAAGCCACCCCTCCCACCCCTGGGCTGCCTCCCAGGGCTTTTAAGGCCACCCATTCCCAAGGATGCCCCTTTGGGCAGGACTGGGCTCCCTCATCCAAACTCCATCCCCAGGGTAAAATGCTCAGGAAAATGGAGCCCCGGCAGCAGGCTAGGCACATAAAATTACTCTCACTTTTGGGAGGATGGAGAAGGCTATCTCAGCCCTCAGATAGCCCTGGGAAGGTGCCCTCAGTGTTGGCTAAGCCTGTTTTTTGCAGGAGGTGGGAGCAGAGCCCACATCTCCTCCCCACCTGGATTTTCCTTGGACTCCCATGAAAAGCCTTCCTGATCATTCTGGCCAAGGGAGGTCCGGCACTCCCTCATAAAAATGCACTGCAGTATCCCCACAGGAGCGGTCCAGAGCAGCAGATCTCACAGTAATGATGATGCAGCTTCAGTGGTGATTATCAGAGAATTGCTTTTTTCATAAAAGAGGTCCCATGGCATCAGCAGTCGGCAGGCACGGCGCTGCCTCCCCAGCCTCTCCTCTGCCAGGCAGCCCTGGTCCCACTCGGAATGTGCAGCGATAGCAGCTCTTGGCGTGGCGGGTAATGGGATGTAAATGAGGTCCTCCTGGATGCACTAATGGCATGTCATTTTTGGCACTCCTTCGTATTTTGAGAATAGTTTACAGTACAACCAAGAAAACAGAAGGCAGAGAATTACCCACAGTTCCCCATGTTGCGATTTTGTTCTTAATGGGACATGTCAAGCCAATTTGTTAGTTGAAGTTACGTTTCCTTACAGTATTTCTAAGACCCACGCCGAGATGAAGACAGTCGTGGTTTCCTTGCTAAAAGCCTTTGTCTCTCACACTCATGCACACTGGAAATCTGCAGGGTTCCATTTTGTTTGTTTCCACATCCACACAACTTTGAAACAATGCTCCTCTCATACCTGGCTTTAACAACAAACAAAAAAAAAAAAAAAAAAAAACAGAATGAACACAAACAGAAAACCTCACGAAAATAACCTTTTTGTGGTGCAGGAGTGCTGGGTTTGTAGAACCATGGAATCATAAAGGTTGGAAAAAATCTCTAAGATCTCTAGTCTGATCATCCATCTTCCACCCTAACTGCATCCCTCAGTGCCACATCTCCACAGTTCTTGAGCTCCTGCAGAGATGGTGACTCCACCACCTCCCTGGCAGCCTGTGCCGTGCCTCACCTCTCTTTCTGAGAAGAAAGCAGCAGTGTGAAGCTGGGGTCTCCTTCTCATTGCAGTGTGTTGAACTTACCATCAGGGGATAAGCCCATGCTAACACTGCCTGTTGATCCAAGCCCCTGCCCCCAAACCAGCCCTCATTCCATGACCCCCCTCCTGATTGTGTGCCAGGACTCAACAAAAATTGATGAGGCTGGCAGCAACCAGGCCATTCATCTGGCATCTTAAGATGCTGTATCAATACTTCATGATATTTCAGATTGAAATGACTTTCTGAAAGTTGTTTTGCTTTTTAAAATTAAAGCGGAAACTTGGTTTTCTTTTCTAAAGCTGCAAATCAAAGTGGAACATTTATTTTTAGACTGAGTAACCTTTCCCTTTAGAACCACTTTAAAAAAAATGGATTCTTGAAAAACATGTTTGATTTCATATTGAATAGTAACATTAGAAAAAAAGATTGGCCCCCAGTATCAGCAGGTCATAGGATGAATGGAATGGAGCTAGTTAACTGCGAGAGCTCCTAAACTTAGATACTGTAACTTGACATTTTCATTGCTGATCAGGAAGTGAATTTGAAGTAACTGCTGTTAAATTTGTGGATGATGAAGATAGCAGTCTGCGTGGCCTGCTTGCTGCACATTTGAATACATCCCAATTTGAATACATCCATCCTGAGTACATCTGAATACAGCTAAATGTGGAGGTCTGTGACTGGGTGCAGTAGCCAGGCTGCCAGATTGAGGGATGGGACCTGCATGAGCCCAGACCGGGGGAAACGATGGAGGGATCACAGCCCCGAGATCACTGCTGGAGGCTTTGTAGCAAGGCTGTGGCACAATTGGCTGGAGCAAGCCTTGGTTATATAAACCAGGAGAGCAGTGACTCAGAGCAGGGAATCAATTGGCCTCTGCATGTGTTGCTGGTGAGACTGGGAAAGGGGCTCTTTCTAATTTTGGTTTCCATAATTTAGAAAGGAAGTTGAGAAATCAGAAGAGGTTGAGAAAAAGATGCTAAAAAGCATTCAAGGGCTGGAGCAGATGTTTTGCAGTTAGAAACTGAAATAGCTCAGCCTGCTTTGTTTACTGCAAGGAGGTGGAGAGGTGAGTTGTTTACAGACTGGGCACACCTCTGCATAGGGTGGGAAGGGCTCCGTAACCTCGTTGAAATACACACAGTGGCCACTGGTGTCTGAAGGTCTGAGCCTGATGGATTCAAACATAAGCTCACACACACTGTTAGCTGTGAGACTCTGAGCCACAGGAACCAGCCACTGGGAGCAATGCTTTCCATGCTTGGTGTCAGTGCCTTGCTGTGGGACAGGTGCACAAAGCTGGGATAATGAGGCACCACAACAACCTGTGCCACCATGGGTGTCTGCAGAGGGTGAGGTGACCTCAGGGTCCTTCTGATTCCCTGAGTTCATGGGTCTGGGTGCTTTACCACAGTCATCCATGGAGCAGACTGGCTGCCACCAGGAAGGAGGTGCAGGCCTGGCTTGGTTGATTTACAGCAAAGCAGATCTGGTATAGCACTTGATAACAGTCTTCCATTTCTTTAGCATCAGTGAATAAGAACAGTAATGACCAAAAGCACAGGACGTGGGCTTGGAGGCTACAGTCATCAAATAATGCGGTTTGCAAGGGACCTCAGGGTGTCATAGTCCAGCCCCCAGCTCAAAGTAGGCTTGGCCGTGAGATCGGAACAGGTTGCTCAGGACTTTGGTCACCCAGGAGCTGCAGCATCACACTGTCCTCAAAAGCTCAGCTGTGAGCAGAGGGAATCCTTGGCCCTGAGGCCAATTTGAATAATTCCTTCTCTATGGTGCATCCAACAGCACTTCATTCTCATCTTGTCACTAATGAACTGGTGCTGGCCTCAGTGGCAGCTCTGTGTAGCAGATGTTGACCTTGCTGGGTGTTGCTAGCTAACCACCTCTGCTGCCAGGGCTTGTGGCTGAGGCTGACTGTCATAATGCAGTGCAGGTTGTAAATACAGGCTTTCTGGGGGCACAGGTGAAGATCATGCTCTGAACAAAGCTTTGCGGTGCTGTACCAAAGCGTGTACATATCACAGTTCTTTTCTGAGCACAGAGGTGTTCCCATGCAGCTCCATACTTCTCTTAGAATAAGAAATATCTGGAAACAGTTATGGTGCTGCAAAACTGACCTTGGCACAAGCAGCACTGAATTACAAGCGGAGATCAATCCTTGCACACAAGTGCAGTGGGCAGGGTTGTGATCATCACACTGATGTGAGAGGAGCTGCATGTTCTCGTCACCCAGGCCTTGCTCCAAATGAGGCTGAGGCACCTGGGATATAGCTGGGATATAGCTTCTCAGTACCTACAGCCTGTGCAGCCCTGCCTGCCTTGTACTGTTTGGGGTTGAAAAGCTTAAGGCTATGCCCTCAGCTCAGTTGACCTCTGAACAAATCCATTACCGTGAAAAATAAGGAATGAGCATTTGTCACCAGCTGGATTTCGCCTACTTTCTTCTTCCCTCAGTGCTCTTTCCAGCTAGAGCTTGGCAAAAGCAGTCCCCGGTCTCAGAGGCTCTGTGTGCTTCCAGATTGTGACTGAGGGTATTTAAAAGAGAGAGATGCACTGATGCTCACATTTCTTCTCAAAATCGTTGTAAATCTTTTTCTCTCTGTGAATCTTTAATACTTGGAGGCTCTGTTTACCTGGTCTCATCAGAATGTATTGTGATCTCCCCCTTCTGGTAAAAGGAGGCAGCTTTTAAAAAGCAAAGTGCAATGTTTTGTGATAGCAGCTTCCGATGCACAACTCCCTGTCATGTTAGCCATGGAGATTATGCAGCACGAGTCAAGACATGATGGACCACATCCCACCTTTTTTTCCTGAATCCTAGCCAGAAGGGGGAGTTCTGACCAATTTTTTCCTCTCCTGGGGAGCGTACTGCCCAGCTCAGCTGAAGCAAATGACGTCAGCCAGGAGGGGCTGTGCTTGCTGTCTGGTGGTGTGGGCTTTCTTTCATATCTTCTTCCAAATCACCTTAGAGAAAATGGGGGAGTCATTTGATGCAGCTTGTCAGCTCAGTTCTCTCTCTGTGCTTTTCCACCTCTGCAGATGGTTACACAGTTGATGACATTGTCTTCTTCTGGCAAGGAAATGATTCTGCTGTCACAGGGATGGAGGTGCTAGAACTGCCCCAGTTCACCATTATCGAGCAGAGACTGGTCAGCAGGGAAGTGGTCTTCACCACCGGTGAGTCTCTGCCCAAGAGATGTGATGGAATTCATAAATCTTCTGTTGATCCAGGTCAATGTAGTTTCTCATCTGATTTAGATGCTGAGGTATTAAATTAGGTTCTAGGCTTCGGGCCCTATTCATTTGAAAAAGAGCCCTCTTCTCTACCCACCAAATTTGACTCTTCTAAGACTTGTGGAATCATTTTTATTTTTATTGCAGTTGTTTTCATTTCTTAGTTGAAACACCAGCTAAATCCAAAACAGAACCTCCTTAGAAGGTTCTCAGCCTTTATCTTGTGTTTAGGTGGTTTAAAACTGGCTCTCAAGGTCAATGTAGGTGCAACTGTAAGAAGCAGAATATTTCTCTTGAACAGTAAGTGGTCTATGGCCCATCTGCACAGTGCAATAACGGAATCTGAAGAGAACACCTTGGACAATTCAGGGTTTGGATTTTGGTTGCTGACTTCATTTTGAAATGGTATGGAGTTCACTGCCTAAGTGAAGTGCCACACACGTTAACTTGGATGATTTCTGAAATGCTGTGAACTAACAGCAAGAACAGTCTGTCCATGGCAGTGGCAGATGGGGATGTTCCTACAGTGGTACCTCACTGGACACGCCAGGAGCAGGGTCCCATTGCATCAGTAATCTAGACATCAACAAGAAGCCATGTTCCTTCCAAAAGAACTTTGCAATCTGGATGGACATGGATATGGATAAAGATATGGCCTTAAAAAAAACGATTGGTGAACGAAAACATTCAAACTGCATACATGATACATAGTGCTGAGAAAATACAACCTCCTTTTCCCAGTCTTCCTCCCTGATCATTACAGACTGTTGTTTTCTTCTTAGCTTAGCTGCCAACCCACAACTACACTCATATTTCAGTCTGTTGTGTTGCTTAGGGAAGGAGGTGAAAAGGAGGAATGGCTTGGACTTTGTTTCACAGTAACAAGAGGGTTGCTGCCTTGTCCTGTCAAAATACCATGCTCCAGTAGAAGATTTGTAAAAGTACTTCTTGTCACTATCCTCATTAGATTTCCTAAAAGATTAGGAGGAACTTGAACAAGAAAAAAGATCTACAGATTAACCAGTGGTACTCTATTTGTGTATGAATTTGCCCAGTCTGACCATAACCCAGTTTTAGAAAGCATGGGAAAAATACTATTCATATCTTCATTGCTGTTTGGAGGAAAAACTAGTACATGAAACAATGGAAAATGATCTTACTGCATCCAGGTATAGGGTTGAAGTCTCCCACGCAAGCCCAAATCTTACTGGCACATACCATAAAGGCAGTTTCAACAGAGGACTGAACAGACGTTCTCCCATGATGTCTGATACAAAACTGTAACTTGCATAGAGCTCCTTTTTTTCCCAATATTCCTAGCCAATTGAGCAGACTCTAAAGAAATCCTCTTCTCTGATGAGGCTGTAAAATCTAAGGAAAAAAAAAGAGGAGAGATTCCTCATTATCACTGCCTCTTGAGAACATTTTCCAAATAGAAGCTCCTACTAAAAACACAACTTTGCTTTCCTCTCAGACAAGATCTCCCTTTAATATCTCATTGACAGGCTCATACCTGCGCTTATCTTTGAGCTTCCGAATTAAGAGGAACATTGGTTACTTCATCCTGCAGACTTACATGCCATCTATCCTCATCACCATTCTGTCCTGGGTGTCCTTCTGGATCAATTATGATGCTTCTGCTGCACGAGTGGCACTGGGTAGGTACCTTCTCATTATACACTGAAGAATATGATATCTGAGGGAAATCAAACAGGACAGTTCTAAGAAAATATCTTTTTCTTAATGAGGTAGCATCTAAACAAGACAGATCAAATTTGTCATCCCAAAAGAATGACATTTCCTTGGAGAACAAACTGCAGGTTTTCAGCCTGGAGGTTTTTTTGGAAATACTGATGTTTCCCAAGCTTGAGTCTGTATTATTTGAATCAGTAAAAGTTATATTACAGATTTCTGTGGGAAATTTGTTATATACAAAGGTATAAATGGTCACAGCTTCTCAGAAGCATGAGACTATGACATGCTATGAACCCACCAGTTCCCTCACTGCAGTTTGTACTTGTTTTCTTAAGCAGATAAGTCTGGGCATCTCTTGATTAACAGATGTGCTGAGAGCAGGTTAGTTGGATGATAAATACTGAGAGTGGATGGACAAAGAGCAGTAAGAATGGTGAGTGAATGGCAAAAATTGTAAGGAGAGATAAAGAAAGTGGCATTACACAATTTCATGATATTTTAGGCCCAATACAGACACTTTTTTGTGACTGAAGACCTTCATAACCAAGTCAAATGTGGGACAGTAAAGTAAAAGATTTTCTTGAACATATGCGCCCCTAAATAGGGATGTTTTCCTACAAGAGGAAAAAAAGAGATCTTTTAAGCAACAGAAGGGAAGTGGGGGTGGATTGCAGATAAGGATTTTGAAGAAGGAACAGGAGAAAAGTGGGGTGGCTGGCATATCAGATTGGGGCTATGCAACATGATAGGAAGTTCAGAGGAAATAGGAGAGACAAGGAGGGAAGATTTCAGCTGTGGTGGGGAAAAGGCTCTGATAAGGAATAGGTAAAGGTTGGGTTTTACAGAGAAGGCTGGGGGCTTAAATTAGCTTTAGGAGAAGGCAGAGCAGTGGTGGTTTGTACAAACACATACAAAAGAAAGTATTTGTCTGTGCTTGTTTGGAGAGTCTGGAGCAAGGAAGGGAAAAGAGGAACACAGTAAATTGAAAAGGTAAGTTGCAACGACAAGAGTATTATAAGTGAGAGTAAAAAGAGACCACAATAGACATTGCTAAACATAGTAGATACAGTAGACTCTCACAGGGAGAGTACAAACAGAAGGGTGGACTTGAGATGCACAGCTGTTGATTTTCAGCTGACATCTGGAGAAAACAGAAGAAAAAACATTGTAGATCAAAACTGGAACAGCTCTCATCAAGTGATTCCTGACAGCTCTCTAACTTGTTCCTAAGAACCTTCAAAGAAGGAGAATCTGCAGCCTCCTCTAACCACTATTCCTCTGGATTTGCCTGCTCATACAATCAGAAATCCTTCCTTTTCCTGTGTTCTAAATCTCTGCTGCAATTCGTCTGTCTTCGGTGGACACGGAGAACATTTTATTCCCCCTTAACTTCTACCAGACTTCTGGGTATTCAAAAATCATTGTTGTATCTTCCCTCTGTCTACACTTCTGTGAACTGAAGACTATTAGCTCTCTAAACTAAACGACTAAATGACACTAAAAACAATGAAGTTGATAGGGAAACAGGACAAGCACAACTCCAGGATGCACGGACAGATGTGGGAGCAATCACAGTAGAGGTAGGGCTAAAAAATGAAATTAAAATCATGTAGAATAAGAGAGCTAGAGACAAAGAACTTGGACTGGAATGCTGCCAACAGAGAAGAGGAGGAAGGACATTTGAGGAAATCAGCAAGGTAGTAACAAAAACATGGCAGTTGAGATTGAGAAGAGGGAAAAGAAGACCAGGCAATGGAGTTTCTCCTCCAAAAGAAGTATGCCTTCTTGTCAAAGTTGCCCAGTTGCAACTTTCTGAAGCACTGCTGAAGAGACAAATCTGCGGCCATTCTGAGAGTTCACAGGCCAGAGGCTAAGAATGAAGGAAAGGAATGAAGCTGAGAGCGTAATCATGATGCACCAAGTAGACCGAGTAGATGGTCAAATAAAGGTTTATTTAAGATGCAGGAAATATGAGTAGACATAAAAAAGGAGAACATGAGAGCCATGAAAGAAGCTCAGATAATTGAAGTAGTGGGTGGTAAAGCTGGTGAGAGAAAGGTAGGAATTGATGGAGTCAAGGAAATAGATAGAAGCCTTGAGGCAGGTAAAAGAAGAGAGAGTCATGAAGTGGGAGTCTCTTATCTCCTTCTCATATTTATGGCATTAGAAAGTCATAGCATATTAGAAATTCATGTCAAGGATACTGAGGCATTCAGTAGTGCACAGGGAATTGTGATGAGTTCATGAAGTAAGAAAGGTGGAGGAGAAAATTTGAGAGACTGAAAGCAAAACTGTGTATTTTCTATCACAGTGAGTGAAAGAAGGATGATCAGGGAGGACTCAGAGAACTGAGATTCACAGAACATTGATCCACACTGTCCTGATGCTATTGAGCTTTTGCATTTTCTCCCACTTTTGATAGCTTGTTTGTTTTCTGCAATGGTTGACCTTAGAATAATGACAATTTTCTTCCCAGTTTTGCCGCTTCCAGCCCTCCCGATGTTCAGCCCAGATGGGAGAAGGGATGGGAAACCTGAGATTGGCATTTCAGGAAACCACCCCACCTTGATAACAGAACACCTACCCTCTCCTTACAGGGGTCACCACGGTACTCACAATGACTACCATCAACACTCATCTGCGGGAAACTCTCCCTAAGATCCCTTACGTCAAGGCTATTGATGTTTACCTCATGGGCTGCTTTGTCTTTGTGTTCCTGGCACTCCTGGAATATGCTTTTGTCAACTACATATTCTTTGGACGAGGCCCCCGACAGCAGAAGAAACAGAGTGAACGGATCAGCAAGGCCAACAATGAGCGCCATCGTTATGAAGAAAAGAGGGTGAGAGAGCAGGTTTGTTTCCTTCTTTCATTGTGGTAGGAGAATTCAAACTCTCCACTGTTCATTCAGTCCTGGATGAGCTGTGGAGCAGCCTATCTCTTCACCACAAGAAACTCCAGTTCCCTTGTCTGATAAACATAGACCTACTGAAGTTTGCAGACAGATGCCGAGAAGGATCTCTTTCCAGTGTTCACTGGGAATTTTTCTCCTTGATCATTTGGTCATTATCCTCAAGCCAGTTTCATCAGGACCACCCTCTTGCAAGGGCAGGTGTATCCCAAGGTACCCTTGTGGCTTTTGGTCCTACTCTGTTGGCACAGATACATTACTCAACTCGCAAGTATGCTGCAAGCACAGGCTCCAGCCTGTGAGCAACCAACATCAATGGATGACTTTTGCAAATGCAGAAGTTCAGGTTCAGAGCCCACTTACAACCCAAAGATCAGTATCGATATACAGAAAGCAGTTCAAAATCATCCCTGGTGGCGTGGCTGTGCACACAGTGCACAAGACATCCTTGCTATCTTTCTCTCTGTCTCCCCTGTTCTAGGTTGACCCTTATGGTAACATCCTCCTCAGCACTCTGGATATGAACAACGAGCTGCTGGCCACGGACATGATGAGCAGCGTTGGCGACTCTCGAAACTCTGTCATGTCCTTTGAAGGCTCAGGAATTCAGTTCCGCAAGCAGCTGGCCTCCCGGGATGGATTTGGTCACCACCCAACCCTGGACCGCCATGTCCCGCTGACCCACCATGCCGCAGCCCGCAACCGTGCCAACTGCCGTCTCCGTCGGCGGTCATCTAAGCTGAAGCTCAAAATCCCAGACCTAACAGATGTCAGCACCATTGACAAGTGGTCAAGAATCATTTTTCCAATCACCTTTGGATTCTTCAACCTTGTTTACTGGTTGTACTATGTAAATTGATGCCTGCAGCCTCCAAGAGAGATAGGGACAGACACTCAGACAATGACAACACAGGAGTGTTGTGGTCTTTTGGGTTTGGGTTTTACTCTTTACTATCATTATCATTTATTCCTTTGATTCATTAGATTTACTCTAAGCTTACTCTTCTCTTTTCAGCACATATAGAACCACAGAGTGTTGGGGGGAGGGGGGAAAGGGAAAGAAAGGTATACGGGAGGGGATTTGATTTCAGGGAGGGATGTGTTTGTCTTAATTTTGGTTTCCTGCTGAAGGACTTACACCATTGTGGGAAAAAAAAAATCAAAAAAAAAAAAAAAAAAAAAAAAAAAA